TCCTTGTTGTTCAAGTTACAGACTAACACAGCTACCCCTCTGAGACTTTCTCCGGATTGTAAAGGTTAAAAGCTTAAAACCTTTTCTAACCATTAAAGGGATAATTTATGTCAAAATCTTAATTAGGGCACAGGATTATCTGCCTATTCATTTTATTTCTATTATTAAATCTTTGATATTGGGGTGGTCTGGATTCTGGGGATAAGTTAGACTCACAGGAAGTGTTTGACTTTTTAGTTTACTCTTTTGGAGGAGGCTGAATATTCATGTGATTGAGGATTATGGAATTGGTTTCACCTCTTTCAAGTGTCCATTCTGACAACTGACACTCTGGGATTGAAGCTGAGAATTTTGGAAAATAGAAGCCATAGAAGAAGCAGTGTCCCATGAATTGGGATAGAACAGTCTCTAGACATAGTGGTGCTGAAGAAGAGCAGATGCATCGAGCCAAATCCTCATACGTGCTTAGTCGTTGCTTAGTTAAGTGTTGCAATGCCTGCCTCCTATAGGCCCTGCTGCCGAGTGGAATCCACAAGTTAGGCACCCAAGCTTCTCAAACAATTCATGATGGGGGTTAGATTGCTAAGGACTTATTTACATGATGTCAAGCTCACTGATGAAGGAAGGGGGAGAAAGGAGACAGTTGTCCCAGGGCCTAGTGATGCAAAAGGGCCCAGGGCTCCTGACTTTTAAAATCTCCATTGGAGTGCTGCATGCTGTGCTCCAGGCAGGGCTGACTGCCCTGGACCGTTCCTTCTTCCTGAGGCTCCACCCCTTCCAGGAGTGCAGAGCTGTCCTCACACCTTGATCTGGGGCCCAGCACAGCTGTCAGCTCCCTTGTATGATGTATTAGTGCACATCAAATGGCTGGTAAATTCTAGTGCAGTGCACACCAGCATGTTGTGCACTAACCTGTCCATATGAACCCTGCTGGCTCTCATTAAAAGTTTACTAGTGTGTGCTGACATAGCACTGTGAAACTGAACCACATCAATACAGACTAGGAACTTTTAATGGAAATCAGCAGCCTCCACTTGGCCACATTAGCACACATGAGTAGCTAGACACTAGGGCAATAAGGAGACTCAAGCACACTATGTCTCTGAGAGGCTTTGAAAATCAGTTTCATTAATGCCCCAGCACTGATGTGACAGGTATGTATGTGCGCGCTACCATGTGGTAAAATTCACATCCCAGTTGGTGGGCACTAACACACTGTGTAGACAAGCCCTAACAAAGGAATCCTCAGAATCCAGCCAACTGAGCAGGGAGCTGCTAAAGTTAGGCAGGAAAAAAAAATTCTGAGAAGGGCTTATGCATCTAAGCTGCTAACTGACCTGGTTGGTGGGTTAGATAAGCACAGTACACTGCTTGGAATTCTCAGCCATGAACCTTCTCCTGAAATGAGACACCTAAGCCAGATCAGATGTTTAGGTAGTCTAAGACAAAATTGCATATATCTCCTGATCACTCTCAACACCTCATGCTTATCTATATTTTCACTTTCTGGCTGTCTTCTTGAGTGCCATGTTACCCTCAACCTATCAGGGTATGGCTCTTGGAGAAGGCTTTCATTTCCCACAGCTTTGATTGCTACACAGTGCAATTGTAAGCTACATGTCCCTGTCCCTCCCACACTGTATTACCAGGCCCTTAGTCCCTGGTTATTTTTTACTATTTATTGCTCTCTGTTCAGTGTTTGTTAGCTAATAAAAATACATGGATTGAAGACAAGAGGATCTTTGTTCATTGTGTACACTATGGTTGGTGGGGGGTTAGTTTACAGTGCAGCACATGCAAAAGAAGGGGACAGCTCGGTAAGAAACAACACACATAAGTAACCTCAGTGTTGGGGCATTCATGAAACGGATACTACTCCTCAACGTCCTCTTCTTATTGCCCTGACTTCTCATGTTGGCAGCCAGGTGATCTGCCTCAACCCACCACCCCTACTGGACATTTTTCCCCCTTTATTTCACAGATATTATGGAGCACAGAGCAAACAGCCACAATGGAAATATTGGTTTTACTGAGGTCTAACCTAGTGAGTACTGTAATCTGTACCAGCAATCCTTTAAAAAGCCTGAAGGCACATTCTACCACTATTCTGCACTTGTTCAGTCTATAGATGAGCTGTTCCTTACAGCTGTCCAGACCACCTGTGCATGGCTTCATGAGCCAGGAGAGGAAGTGTCCAAGAATAACTATTGGTATTTCATTGTCACCAATGGCAAACTCTGTTTGCAAAGGAAGTTCCTTCTTGCATCTTCCTGAATACACATTTCCCAGCCCCTACATAGATTCATTTTCCTGGCTACCCACTCTGAATTTATTCCTGGCTGGATAGTAGCAACCTGGAATTGCAAGCTTCCATGGGACTATCACCATTAACTTCTCAATTGTCAAATCAGGTCTCATTTTGGTATTGCTGCACATTAGGGCTGGGAAAGCAATTCACAAAGTTCCATGCAAGTGCACATTAGGGCTAGGAAAGCAATTCACAAAGTTCCATGCAAGTGGCCTTATGCATTCCAAAGTTCTGAATAAACTGTTCCTTACCCCACAGCTGCCCAATCTGGCAGTCCCATCATGTTGTGTTTATTTCCCAGGTCCAGAAGCAAAGTTCAACTGTGTCAACGTGCCCAACTGCCACCAGCACATACAAATTGTTCCATTCCATGGTTTCCAGCATGCCTGTTTGTGTGTCATTACAGAAGTGGCTCCTGGCTAGGCTCTGCAAACACTACAGGATAATGTGCAAGCTATTTGCAAAGCTCACAGCAACAGTGTACAGTTAAGTGGGGTCCATACTTATCATTCTATGGCATCTGCACAAGTAACCCAGGATTAAAAAAAAGATGTGAAAACGATTGGTTGCCATTGCTTTTAGAGATGGAGGGAGGAAAAAGTACATGATTACATGTACTCAAAACAACCCGCAAAAATGTTTGTGTCTCATCAGGCATTGGGAGCCTAACCCAGAACGCCAATCAGCACCAGGAACTGTTGGATAACTGCCCACAGTACATCTCCATGGGTCGATGTGAACCCTGGTAGTAAGGGGGCACTTTACCAACTGAATGTGTGTAGTGAGGACATGCAGTATTAACTTTGTAAAATTGGAAACTTCAGTAAATTCAACCTAATTTTGTAGCATAGCCTTAGTCTGACATGCTTTGGGCTTCTGGAGCTTCAGCTTGAGCTAGGGATCTGAGCTGCTCATTATCTGTGGACCACCAACAGGCTAAGGCAGCTTTAAAAATGCCAAGTGGAGGAATCTTAGGCACCTATGCAATTTGGTGGCAGCTGAGTGGCTGTTCCAAGAATGACAGCGGTGCCTAAATGTACTTGGACACCTAAAGTAGCGGACAGGAACCTAAATACCTTTAGGATCTGGGTTATTGCTTCAGGTGAAACCAGTAAGCCAACTTCCACAGTTGACACCTAAAGTAGCAGACAGGAACCCAAATATCTTTAGGATCTCGGTTATTGCTTCAGGTGAAACCAGTAAGCCAACTTCCACAGTATTTGAAGGCATTTCTGTTACCTGTCTGAGAGAAGCTTCAGGGAACTGAGAGCAGAGTTGCATTATGTATACCTTGCAGCCACAACAGTCTTACCTTAAGAACAGCTTGAACTAGGACTTCCTACCACTTCAGAAGCAATCTATACTGCTCTACTCATCTCCTATATAGTATGATTTTACACTGCCTCTGTGCTTGTGTCCACAAAAACAGTTTGGAACAATCCTTGCCCCTCATCAGACCCCAGTGTGTCTGGAGACACTGTTTGCACCTCAGAAATTTTACGCTTAAAACTCAAAAAGGCATATTTGCTGGCTAAATAAAACTAGGGTCTAGAAAAGGATCTAGCTTAAAACTCAAATAAAACTAGGGTCTAGAAAAGGATCTAGAAAACTTTTGAATAGACATCTGAATGTTCTGCCAAAAAAAAGTCAGGCTTAATGGTTGGCTCTGGTGGCACAGAGATCTATAGAAGGGAAAGTCCTATGCCTTGGTCAGTGTCCGTTCTGTAGAAAGTGTTACAACTGTGAGAGAGTGGATGCAACAATATATTTATAGTCATAAGCTTTAAACTAAAACTCAATGTATCATCTTACAATCATATGAAAAGCAATTACTAAAGCACCTTATCTTTTCCAGTTCTTGGCAAAGGATATTGGACACTTCCCCTGCCCCTCCCATAGGGCTATCCCTCTGCTAACACAGGTCTTCCCTTAGCTAGAAAAACATTCTACATTACTTAAAGCTCCACTTGTAGAAGCACTATGACAGGCAGTATTACTTAAAATATTTCTTACCATTAAAGCTCCACTTGTAGAAGCACTATGACAGGCAGGGTTCAGACAGACACCGGCATTTTAATCATATTTTGGCTGTGCTAACCAACATTGGACAGCAATTTACATGATAGAGGTTGCTCTGCACTACTACTCCCAACATGGTTGCAAAATTAAGAAAAAAGCTGAACATAGACCAAGTCAAGATGCAGCATTCTGAGAGCACTCTATGAAAAAGCACTAAGAACAGCAAGATTTGGCTTCAATGTGTCCTACTATGCAGCTGAAATATATCTTCTCAGACTGTAGGCACCTGCAATGGTTGCCAAAAATCATGTATTTACATTTGGCAGCACAATTGATCTGCTCTTCTGTTTCAGATCCTGTCTTTAAACATGACAGAACAGCAGTGACATGTTGTCTGTGATCTGAATCTAGAAAATTAGGACCATAGTTTGCACAGTAAACAGTAGACCTTCCATTGACATGGGCTTGTTCTTGAAGTGATGAGCATTCACTTTCCCTTATCTTTCAATTGCAAATAGCTTGAACAACAGGAACAAATTCAATATGAGTCGTACATAAAAAGGAAAGGTTTTTGGTTTTTGTATAAACAAACTTTTAGGAATCAGAAATCTCCAAAAACATTAAACTTGAATTTACGTTAGATTTGGTGATATGATGAAACAAACAAGAACATCTACATTACTTCTGTTGAAAACATTTTAATTTATTTTCACATTTACAGTATGAAAGGGACACGGACAAATATTTAAAGTAATATTTACAAATATATACAAAAAACCTAAAATTTAACATATAGTTTGCAGAAAAGCGACAACCCAGTTCTCTAGCTATTTTGTGACACTATATTTTTTTTTTCCTTTTTGGGATGGAGTCAGTATGGCAAGAGTGCTATGTCAGTCCATAGCTCCTTGATCACACAAAACAGGGGAGGAATGAAGAAACACCAGTAAAATCCAAGATTAATTTAAGGTAAATCATTAGACTTGCTAGTGTTTTGAAAATTTGGCTAACTTCTGATTCCAATTTTAGACTGATGAGGAAAAGCCTTGAACACAAAGCACATGCCCTAAAGACCAAGAGTCTTGAAACTCTCTGAAAATAAAAGGGCCTCATATACACATGCCATTTCCAATTTCTACTGTGAACTCATTTGAAAGACTTTTCTGGAGAAATAAAATCAAACATTATTTAATTAAAACAAAATTCAGTCCTCAAAATAATTCTTTAGACTCCGCAATAAGCTAGTTTCAGACATATAGGACCGCACGCCAAAAATGACTAGTTAACCTTGCTCTTTTTTTAAGTTCATAGTTAAGAACATTCTTTAAAATATACTGTATAATTCATATATAAAATTTTCTTTTAAAGGTTATAAATGAATAAAAAACATGTTTAGGAAAGGACAAATTTCGGAAAATTCTCAAAAAGTTTAAAAATTGCCTAGGAATGGATCTAGGACATATTTAACTTATTTTCTTTTTAAAAATAGAATATTTACCAAGAAGCACTTCCACACTTTTCTTCAGGATAACTTCCACCTCTGAATTAACCTCTGGGATATAATAGCTGCCCCTGATAGCACAACAGATCATAATCTCCGCAAATTCTGCTTGCTTTTTTTTGTACCAGGAAGAAGTCCGAGCTTAGAGCTAGATTTCACAGGTTTGCCACTTGCACAGTCTCTGGAATTGTGGTAGCAGCACAGGCACTTGGTGCAAAAGTCAAAGCCACAGCTTTCACGGCTGCATGTTGCCCTCTGTAGATAGGAGTTATATTTTGCAGGTGAGCTACAGCGGCTGCAAACCTTAAGGCTTTCGGTATTTTTCAAGGTCTTGGCAGCCTATTGGGAAAATACACATTTTTTTAATTGAAATAATCATTGGAATAAGTCAATACACAAACATCAAAGCCTTCCCCCTTATTCTGTAAGAGCCTGACTTTGTTAAGGGCATGTAGCAAGACCCATGTTTTCTCTCTTCTTGCTGAAGTTGAGTGACAGAACTAGAGAGCAAAGTGCTGGTCTACAAGAAAATGGGCAACCTAGCCTAGTGAGTAGGCCACAAGAGTGACCCTCCATTTTAGTGGGCTGAAAGATTATTGTAACCAAGATAGTCTCCTGGGATAGGGTAGTTATGCTAACTGCACGTATGTACCTAGAATTTGTAGGGTGTGCCAACTGAACTTTTACAGTGTTTTGACTGGATGCAGACAGCGCACACATCTTTCACAGGCAATGTTATGTGCTATCAGCACGTACCTCACTTCAAATGCCCTTGCTTTACATGTGAGTCACTTTAATACCAGTAGGAAAAACATCTTTATGGACAGAAACCAGTGGAATTTGGCAACGGTAAACAAAATGTTTTGTGGACCACACACAGAACCCTAATGTACTGCATACAGCCCATGAGCTGCAGATTGCCCACCACTGCTCTAAGATGTGCAGCTGCCTAAGAAACCCTGTGCAGGGTCTTAGGGCTGCCACGCACATAGCCGTGTGCAGCCAGGGGAAGTGCACCTTCTCAAAGTTCCCCTTACCCCATCCCCAGCAGCATGGACCTACCATAGCCAGGAGAGAGGTGCCCATCTGCCAAACCCAACCCAGCCTCACCAGAGCAGCCATTACTGGCAGAGAGATGCCTCTCACCTGGCCCAGAGCTGCTGCAGTGAAAGAGGACTGAGGATCAGGGGAAAAATCTCTCTCAAGGAAGCTTGTACCCCTAAATCCCAGCCCCATCCCATATCCAGTACCCCTAGCCTTCACTACCACTATGCCCCAATCCTCTGCCCCAGCCCTGAGCCCCTCCCACACTAAACCACTCAGCACATTTGCTTTCACAAGAGATAACATCTATTTAGAATTACATTCAACTTAAAACACTGTAAATGGGACTAATTTTGAAAAGTGATAAGCACCCATCCTCTGAAAAATCAGTCTCCTCCCAAGATACCTGAAGGTGGGCACTCAAAAATGGAGGCAGTCAAAATCACTTATCCAGTGTTCCCTGTTAGCTGAGCACTTGTGCAGCTACTCAGAGATTCAGGTGCTGCCCACAGCCGGCAACATATTTCTAGTGGTAGTGCATATCCACATATGCCTCAGTGAACATAACATTTATTTTTATTTATTTGTCATCTTGGTGAAGTTAGTGTTTTAATGTTTTCTTAGTTCAAACACCAGATCTGGCTCACCTGATTACTGTGTCATATGACTAATATTTGAAGCTTACCCAAATTACGAAGCACTTGGCTAACCTCAAAATCATCTCCAATCAGACAAAACATTTCACTTGCAGCAGCTATTAGCCAAGTAACAATCCCAACTAAAATGAAATCAGAAACTTCTGATTTGAAAGATGAGGCAAATCATCTGAACTAGAAGATCTGGAGGTTAGTAAATTCTTGAGTAGCAAAAGCCACTGATCCTAAAGTGCAAATTCAGCATGTCAAGAATAATAGTCTTGTGATCAAATTAGGAAAAGCTATAAAGTCAAAACAAGAGATTCAGTTTACCCCAGAAAACACACAAATTTGTGCTGAATGTTCCATACAATTTGATAAACGTGCGTGTGACTGTGTGCAAGAATTAAGCACATTGTATTTGCACTTTCATCTTTAATATGTACAACACTTTCTACATAAGCCCTACGTTGGACAAACAAGAAGTTCCAAACCCAGAGAAATTCAAATTTTTATCTTTGCAACATTTATGCCCCTTGGGAGATAGAATGGTCTGTTTAGTCAGTTTCACCATCTAGTTGTCAGTGCTGTTGTGTTCATGGAAACAGATTCAGCATAGTAGAGGCATATCCATGATCCCTTCTATACCATGAACTATATTATGACAGGCTTCTTCAATGAAGGTTGCAGAGTAGGTGAGGTCTTAACTGTTAGGCAAGTAAAGAGGCTAAGCATGCTGAAACATTGTGTTGTAGTCTCATTGAAGCACACTAGTAGGTATACTAGGAAACAGAGCCTTTTTCAGTTCTATACAACTAGAAGAGAAGCATAGCATAGGCAAGCAACACAGATTTTTTTCCCCACAGCTGTGCTGATATTAGGGATATAGATGTTCAACCAGTTAATTGGTAAGGAATGGAGCAGCTAACCACCTGCCATGAGCAGGGGCCTGCTAACAGACCCACTGGAGTCCCACCACAGACAGGAACTTCTCTGATCCTTCTGTGCAAGGAGCCCTCCCCCCACCACTGCATTTAATCAGTTAACCAGTTAAACAAGATTTTATATCCCTAGTTGACATAGGCCTGTACTGGCTTAAAATTGACCTACGAGTCATTGGCCTTTCTTGGATAGACACTAGAGATGTCAATGTGTAGTCCACTACATGATTAACTGATAAGCTTAGGCCTATTGACTACACACACTCCCCCCACCATATATCAGAGGCAGCAAGGGGGGAGGAGCAGGAGTCAGTGTCTGTGAAGAGCTGGCTTTAAGCAGGCTCCCCACGAGCACCCAATCTGACTGTCACCCACCATTCTACTGCCTCAGAGAATGAGGGGGGCAGGCTGAAGCTGATACACATGGAGAGCCAGCTTTCAAGCAGGCTCCCTGGGCATGCCAGCTCCGAAGACCCGGCTGCACCCCCTCTCCTGTCCCCACGCTGCCAGATACAGAGGCAGCAGCACGGGGTGGCTGGAGACTCCCCAGGAGTGGGACTGGGAGCACACTGGCTGCCAGCTCTGCCCCCGGAGACTATCAAAGAGTCATGTAACCACTAAGATTTAATGCGGTTACACAACTGTTCAGTTACACAATATCTAGCATCCCTAGTAGACATGTTGTATTACAAAGTGAGACAGTTCTTTAGGGGCAGGGAAAGAACAGAAGGCAACCAGGGAGAAGCCACAAACACTTTTCACTTGTGCCCTGAGCTAAGACACCCAAGTATTCTTCTAATAGCTTTATACAATGAAGTACAGCTTATTGTATTATGCATGCCCTCTCATCGCATTAGTTATTTTGACTCTGTCCTACTTTACTTACTTTGCAATACTGAGGTGCAACAAAGGGGGTAGAAACTTCTTTCAAGTCTCCTGACAAAGTCTCTCCTGTAGGCTGTGCCTACATTTTACACTTTTTTCAGTGTACTCAATTAGCGCCATTAGCACAGGTTTACGCAGCAGTGTCAGTGTATGCATCTCCCAACAAGCATAAACAGTGAAAAGATAGAATTCTAATTACTCTGTGTTTGGAACCTCCTATTTATCAGTCATGGGGCTTATGTAAAAGTTGTTGTACACATTCAAGATGATGTGCAAATACATGTGCTTAATGCTCCTCACTTATCAAATTGTATAGAACATTCAGCACAATTTTAAACAATATAGTTTTCATAATTATCAAATTTAGATTATACTTAGAAAATGCTACTAGTGTTTAGAGTTGTTCATTTTAGAAGCTGTTCATGTGCTATTCCTGACAATGCGTCAGTAGTTGAAAAGGAAAAGAAATATCAGCATTACCTCTGAAAACTCCATATGTCGGCTGTAAGAAACATTGTGATTGCTCTGGTTGGATGCTTTGGATCTGGATGCTTTTTTGGATGAACTGCTTGGAGGAGCTGCTGTCTGAACAGAAGCTAAAGCTGCTCGGTATAGTACATATTCCCTTGTTACTGTATGTTCTGAGGGCGGTACACTACCATCCTGTTAAGAAGTAAAACGTGATTAAGATTTAACAAGGCTCCTCTAAGTAACTGCCAGTATAAAAATCTAATTTTTAATGTAAAGTAACTTTGTGTTTGTCTTTAACATTGCAATTAATCACAATTAATTTTAAAAAAACAATTATTTAAGAACCCTAGTTTAAAATAGTAATGAGAGAAGCTACTTACACAACAAGCACAGGTAAAATGATGGGCACATAACTTACTATGGAGGGTTGAAAAAAATTACCATAGTCTTGCAAGCCAGAGAAAAGTTTACAAATAAAATACCAATACTTAATTTTAAACAGTGATAGAATACCAATTTAAATGTAATTTGTAATAAAAATAATATAAGCCATCACTATGCCTTCAGTGTTGCCATGGAAATTTATGTATTTTAAAAGTAAAAAAATAATAATTATAATTATTTAAATAGGTATTCTATTATTGTTTAGCAGTCAGATTAAAACCACAATTAAGCACAACTTTGTAATCAAATTAATTTGTCTTCAGTTAATTTCTTGAGTTAACTATAATTAATTGACAGCCCTATTTTAAACACCAGGAGACAACATGGTTACGGTCATCCTTAACTTCAGTACTTTTCAGTCACAGTGAATGTTGTTTTCAAGTTACTACACTAAGACAAACAATACAACTGAGTCAACAGTAAAATTCTAGAACAAGCCACTTTTTTTAAGCAATACTTTGTTGTGGTGAATAGGAATGTTTGTATCTTTTCCACCAACTGGATTTTTAGTTCAGATTTTCCACATTTGCACTTCGGGATTAAAAAAAGGAAATCTTAATAGAATATGTATTTAAATCAGCAGTGTTCCACCTTTCTAGCCAGTGGGCCAAACAGTTTAACAGAAAAAAGGCAATAATCAATAATTTTGGGACAGATTCTCAGCCCTGCTCCACTACTGAGGTGACACAGAGTGTAGAACTCCTTCAAGTCTCTCGACACACAGTTCCACCTGTAGGTTGTATCTACATTTAACACTTTTTTCAGGATTCAGAGTATGTACTCAACTTGATTAGCACAGGTTTAAGTAGCAGAGTCAACAGTGAGGCATGGCTGAAGCAAGTAGAGAACAGACATATCTGAAGGATGTGCATATGTACCCTAGCACCACATTGCTCTCTACTTACCCACAACATGGCTTCCCATTACGGATGTAAAATCCCAGTTAAATGTTAGGCTTGACTGGTATTTAACCAATTGACTAACTACAGTGGGATCCTGGCCTGAGGGCTGCTCCATATCTACTGGAGTGATCTCTGTCCACTGTGTACAACAGGTGGGGAGCTGCTCTAACCCCCACCTGTTATCCAGAATAGGGATGTAATACTGTAGTTCCGTGGTCCCCAACACGGTGACCGCGGGCGCCATGGCGCCCGCGGGGGCATTTCAATGCACCCGCCAGGTGCTTGGGGCTGGCCTGGCCCTGGGCACTGGCCACTGGGGAGCGCCGGCTCCGGGCGCGCGGCCCTTGGAGGGGGCCCCGCCCCCAGGGGCGCGGCTATGGGGGGGCCCCGCCCCCTGGCGCCCGGCAACCTCCACCGGTTGGGGCCATTGGGTTAGACCTATCAAACCCTACATTTCTCTTGGCTACCTGAGAGATTGTCGTCGCCTTGTGTGCTACAGCAGCCTTTGACAGAGCAGCCTGAAGGAGGAACAAAGCCAAAGGCTAGGTATGTTCACTCCTTGAGATTGGAACTTGATTCTTCTTAGGTTGCAAAAGCCTGAGTCAAAAGTAGCAGGCTGCTAGGCCTCACTGTTCTCCCAGGTTTGGTAAGTCAATGTTATGGACTACACGCATTCTTCCCCCTTCCCTCCAGTACATTTTTTGGCAGCCCAGCTCAGTTCGGGCTCCCATCGGGTCTGGGACTGACCCCTGCTATGGATATGTATTTAAAGTGTATTAGAAGCCAGGCAGGCAGGCAGGCAGCTCGGCTCGTGCCGGGTCTGGGAGTTCAGCCCCCCACTCTCCTCTCAGACAAGGGCTGCTGCCACCCTGCACTGCTGCTTCTGTATCAGCAGGGGAGCAGCCCCAGCCTGGCATCCCATGCTGCTGTCTCTGATACAGAGGCAGCAGCACAGAGTGGCAAGGGGTGCCTGGGGAGTGGGGCTGGAGCACACTGGCTGCTGGCCCCACACCTTGGGACTATAGAATAGTTGAGTAAAGGATAAGAATTCATGAGGTTAATCAACTATTCAATTAACCGATATTTAACATCCCTAATTCAGAACCCATAAATGTTAGGGTGATGCTTACTGGTTAACCATTCACATCCCTATTCCCAATCTGCACTAGTATTTTTAGCCTGTAGTGTCCTGCTGCCTTCCCACTGCTGGAGCCTTCTCCAGTTTTAAACCAAGACTGCTGCAACAGGAAAAAGATCTAGCAGAGAAGGCAGCTGTGGAAAGCCTCCATCAGTTCTCAGAGCACTCCCTTGCCAGACGAAAAGGTTTGGTAAGAATCAGTCTTTCCCCTCTGCCTCGCCCTGCCAGAGGGTTATACTGTTGCTTAACTATTATACGCTGCAATCTGGATGCAGCTTGCATTTCTCTGTAGTATGTAGTTACACATACGCTGCATGTTGCTGAATGTGGGGTGTAGTGAAGAATAGCCATATATATAGACCTGATGTATTTCAATTTAATTCAGGGGGAGAGGGATAGCTCAGTGGCTTGAGCATTGGCCTGCTAAACCCAGGGTTGTGAGTTCAATCCGTGAGGAGGCCATTAGAGATCTGGGGCAAATCTGTCAGAGATGGTACTTGGTCCTGCTGTGAGGACTGGACTCAATGACCTCTCAAGGTCCCTTCCAGCTCTATGATATAGATATATCTTCATATATCATGCTTACCATTTCACAAAAGGAACACATTGGCAGTGACTTGAATACTTCCTTAGCTGGCATATGGTTCACTGGAGACTAGATGCTGCTTTTATAAATTAGAGCAGCCATTAATGCTGGGCAGTAAATCAGTATGCCTTGGCTAGCTGAGGCCTCTATTTACACTTCCGGAGTGCCTGGCTGTTACAGTGAGGAAGGAGCTCCATCTTCTAGTAGGTAAGGCTCAGGCATTCAGTCACAACTTCTATCCCACTCACTCAGACTTCCAAATCCTTACAGGGAAAGGGATAATGCAGGAATCTCAAAAATATTTTATCTTTCCTCCTCCGAAACACAGCACACAGTAGAGAACTATAGATCATTTACAGTAGTGATGTAAAATCTGTTTAAACTGCTTAACTGATTAAAAGGGGAAGGTGGGCAAGGCCTGTTTTGGCCGGTCTAGAGCACTCCTGCCTGTGGCAGGCCCAGCAGGACTGGAGCAGTCCCCTACCAGCAGCAGGCAGCTACAGCAACCACTGGTCAACAGTAACTGGTAACAGGTGAGGATTACAGGTTGACCATTAATATCCCTAATCTGCAGCAGACAGCACCTGGGTCAAAGCACTCCTGGCTCTAGGGCTACAAGTGAAGCAGTGGGTAGCATTTGAGGAGGGATGCCTCTACATCCTCTTCCTAAGAAACACCTCAGTTTAAATATCTCAGGGCACAAATCAGAGAACACACTTTTAATATAGAATCAAACAATTTAAGGTCTTCAACCTCAAAAGCAAAAGCTTGCCCTCAAGCAACAAGTTGGATACTCCTGAATCAGATTTAAAAAATTATCAAATGCAGGAACTTACAGAAAGGCTTTTCACTGCTCTATTGTACACTTGGAACGCCCATTTGTCTTCTTTTAAAATTTTCTTCCATGTTTTGCTCACTTTAGCCACACTATAATGAAAACAAACATCTTAAGCACCTTCTGAAAGTAAAAATTAATTTGTTTTATCAACATTATGTCCAAGATATAGTCCACTACTTTAAGTGTCCTCAAGAGACGGATTCCACCCTTCTCCATTTCAAGAGGAAGGCTACTCTATCACCTCTTCACTATTTATAATTGGTAGTATAAGCTGAACCTCTCTCATCTGGCATTCTCTGGTCTGGCAATATCCATGGTCCAGTACGATTTTAGTTAGCAAGATGTCCACTTATCATGGGTTTGGCTAAGTTTCTTGGGGCCCCATAGTTTGTTTACAGATACCAGACATGGATCTCAGTGTTCTGTGCTGCTATTTAGCTCTAATTTACCCCTAAATGTTTTCTAAGAGCTCAATAAACAGTGGAAGTGTGGGTAATGCCGCTTGATAATATTGAACTCCCGTGGTCTGGCAAATTCTTTGGTCTAGTACAGGCAGTCCCTGGGTTACGTACAAGATAGGGACTGTAGGTTTGTTCTTAAGTTGAATCTGTATGTAAGTCGGAACTGGCGTCCAGTTCTGACTTACATACAGAATCAACTTAAGAACCCCAAGCGTCCCCAAGTCAGCTGCTGCTGAAACTGATCAGCAGCTGATTCCAGGAAGCCCGGGGCAGAGCAACTCTGCCTCGGGCTTCCTGTAGTCAGCGCTGGT